GGAACAGCCCTCCTGCGACGGTTGTCCACGCTCCACCAAGTGCACGGTTTTAAGATCAATTAGGGGCTTTTTTATGCGTTTCCTCGCGTTGGCAGGGTACTGTCAACTCAGAGGACTTGAAGGGCGGTACTATACCCATTTTCCTGTTGTCTTTCAGACGAACGGCAACTACTAAATGAGAAGAACAAAACTGACCCGGGCAACTTAGGTGAACTCCTCGATCCTAGGTAGTAATCCGTAAATTCATGAAAATGTTGATAATACTTACAAACGACAATCGATGCAACTCTTCCATTACTGCCTTAGGTTGTAACTTTGGCTATTCTCCCATTTTGATCTGATGATTGTTCTGGGTTTTTCTACTGGGTTACTCGGGTTATTACTGTCGTGTGTTCGTTGACGGTAACAAACTCAGGAAAGCTTTCTTGCATTCGTTTAGTTTTGGTTTTGTGTTAGTTGGGCTGGTTGCTCCCGCAGTGGGAGAATCACTACAATTTCAACAATATTTATATTTGCAGAGTTTTAGCGTTGGGGTGTCATGAATCTGAGTGTTTTTTCCGGGCGTTGCATTACTACAGTTGCACAAAAAGGATAACATGTTGGGAATTGTGGTGGAAAACAGCATCCAGTTCCGGCCACCAGCATGACAAGCGTGCAAGGGATTTTATTTTATCGACACCCAGATGACCAGAGTATAAATCTGCAGGAACAGCCGCTCGCTGAGTCGGTGGAATGACAACTCTATCCTCAAAACACAGCAAACCATCCGGAGTAACGGATAAGCTTTCGCGGCGACAGTAAAAAGCAGGAAATCGGCGTCGTTCTTGCTGCGTCCAGCCACGTCGCAGTGCAGAGAAAATGGGAGCGAAATATCTTTTAGTGTCAGCAACAAGCACATCCCGCTTGACTGGTAATGGTTGAATCAGTAGACAATCTGAGTTGTTTGAATCAGAGTCACATGATAGAATTCTTGACAAGAAATCGACATGAGGAATCATTTTCGCACTACGATGAACTACTGTGTAGGTGTAAGAACTCAATGCAATAATCCACCGTTGCACCATAGCGGCAGATGACTTCGCCAGAGACTTCGTTGGATGATACAAGAACTTCAAAGCCTCGTGATCAGTAGCAATGGTAAAGTTCAATCCAAAAAGATACTTATGAAGCCGTTTGACAGCCCAATATACAGCAAGTGCTTCTCGTTGAGTCTGAGAATATCCACGTTCGGCTTTTGAAAGTCGACGGGAAATGCAGATCACTGGTCTACCACACTGTTCAAGGATTGCTCCTATTCCAGTGGGAGAAGCATCAGTAATGATCGTCGAATGATGTTTGGCGGAAAATGGCTTCAAAACAGCTGAAGTCTGAAGATAACCAAGCAGTGCACGCAACGCCTTCTCATGGTTGGAAGACCAAGAAAATTGATTGGAAGATATGATATCAAACAGACAACTTGCGTGTTTGGCGAAATTAGGAATGAAACGAGAGTAATACTGAAGTGCTCCTAGAACTGAACGCAGTTCTTGTAGATTGGTCGGTGATGGCGCATTTACTAAAGGGGATAGACGTCTTGTATCAGGTTTAAAACCGCTGCCATCCACAATGTAGCCAAGGCATGAAAATGATGGGACACCAAAAGTGCATTTTTCAGGATGAATAGCTACATTGAACTCAGAAAATCTCTTCAGTAAAGACAACAGACGCATATCATGGGTAGCTTTGTCAGCAGCGTGCACAATGACGTCATCTTGGTACGTCTCAACACCCTCCAAATCTTTTGCAATAGTATTCATAACTTGCTGAAATACAGCTGGTGAAACGTTCAGACCAAAGGGAAGAAAATTGTATCGGAATAACCCAAAGGGTGTGTTGATCACGGTAAGGTTACTGGAGGCTTCGTCCAGTGGTATTTGAAGATAAGCATCTTTTAAATCGATTTTTGAAAACACACTTGAACCTGATAAACGATACAATACATCTTCTGGCTCTTCCGTGGTGCATGTACGTTGTAGTAGCCGCGTATTTAGCGTAAGCCGGTAGTCACCACAAATTCTCGGAGTAATACCATCAGCCTTCAGTGGGGTAACGATCGGAGTTGCCCAATTCGATGACTCGACAGGAGTCAGTATTCCTTTCGCACACATTGAATTTAATGCTTGACGAACAGGCTCGCGTAAACCAAATGGAATAATCCGTCTCTTAAGAAATATAGGCTCTCCTGTAACTTCGAGCCTCATCTTGGGAATTTGCATGCCACCTGTGGCCTTAGAACATTTAAGAATCAGTTGCTTGAGTTCATTCTCATTCGCAGAAGTCAGTAAGGTGATACTGGTTTGCAGTAAACGTAGAACTTTGAGTCCGACGATCGATGGTCCCGACGTTGATACCAAAAAATTACAATCGATACAGGTACCTTGTAGTAACCTCACAGGGATCGTGCAACTACCAACGAGAGGTACAGAATGTCCAGTGATACCGCGAATGTTAATATCTGTAGGCACTATCACGGCACTGGGGTAGAATGCAGTTAGATCTGATTGTGGAATGATGGACTCAACACTACCAGTATCAACAATAAAGTCATGCTTTTGACCAGAAGCGGATATCAACGTTTTAAAAACATGTGACGAATTTTGGGACAAAACAGATAGAGAAAGAGTAGAAATATCTTCAGATAATGTCTTCACGTCAGTGTTTGGGTCAGAAGTTAAGTGACACACTTTCTTGGACTTACAGACAAGTTGAATGTGTCCTGTTTTACCGCAGCTAAAACACTTGGCTCGTCTGTGGGGGCATGAATATCTGGAATGGTTTCGTCCACAAGACTCGCATTTCCCGAATTTTTGAGCCATCGGATTAGGGTTACGATCTGTGAAGTGACGTGTTGATGGATTTGAGGCACGAGAATCTGTTCGAGGTTTGAATTTGTTGTTCGTCCGCATCCTTGAATTATTTCTTTTAGAATAATTTAACAAGACTGCTTCCTCAGTCTTCGTCACATGCTTCACATCTTCATACTGCTCACATATTTTCCGAATAGTTTGAAATTTCTGATCCGAACAGAGTAACAGCTTCTGCTGTAATTCGGGCAGTTGAATGCCAGCAATGAGTCTATCACGCAGCTGGTCTTCCAATTGGGCACCGTAGTCACATTTGGCTGCCCGTGTCTGCAGCTGTAACACGAAATCACGGACCGACTGAGAATGAGAGCGGGTCAACATATTGAACTTAGCTCTTTTGGCTGCTACGAAGTTAATCGGTTTGAAGTGTTGAAAAACCTTTTTCTTCAATGCAGTGTAAGAAATATCGATTGGAGATTCAGGATATACTAAATTCCTGATCAAAGTATACGCCTCCTTGCCAACGAAATGTAGGAAATATGCAGTGAGTTTCTTCTCATCCATATTGGATTTTGTGAGGCACCATATGTCGAATCGTTCCAAATAATCCTCTACGTCACGCGCAGTTGAATTAACATCTAATGGTTCCATTTCGGCAGGCATGGTGAATTGTTCCAATCGCGACGCCAAAATGTGAGAATTAAGTTTCGTACGTATATCGGTGCAACCCGACAAACTAGAAATCCAGAATTCAGCGAAGAGTGGCAACCAGCACGTATGTATTCGAATTGGCGAATATGTACAGCATATGGAATATTAAAACAAGAGAATAATGAATAGAGCATCATGTTCGTTCATCACAATATCTACCACCAATATCCAGCCAAGGCCCACCAAACAAGGCACCGTTTTCAAACCTGGGCCTGCGGTCAAATGTAATAAGAGCATCAGTCATGTTCATCACAATATCTACCACCAATATCCAGCCAAGGCCCACCAAACAAGGCACCGTTTTCAAACCTGGGCCTGCGGTCACAAAAATGTAATAAAAATGGGTCGTGAAGGTGCAACAGGGAAGAAAGACGGTCTGAGTGATGTGAATTATTCACATTACCCTGTCTGGAACCTGTGTGACTCTCCTCGTACGTGACAAGTTATCTTCGAAGCCTGGCGCTTAGCACAGATTAGTCCGCCTCTGTGTACTGGAATGGTCTTGAGTATGGTTCAGAAGGGTTGCCGAGTTAGGCCCATTGATGACACTCAACTCCTAAGCTATGCTCAGATTTGTTGATTTCAATACTTTTGAGGGTACAGGCACCTTGTTCTTGTATGTCTTAATTAAGGATACTTCTTTGTAGACTGGATTGCAAGCATTTTAGTTTTTTTCTCGTAATTGCACGTCAGCCAAACACTGGTATTCGCTACAGATGTGTTGCTCTCAATAGTGTCAATAGTGTCTCAGCTGGCCTATTCAGCATTCTTCATTAAACTCAGCAAGTGGTAAACAAGTGCTCCGGAGTAAATTACAAAATAGTCACTATTGACTGAACGGAGAAAGACAAAAGATGTTGCACCTGCAAACTTGATACTCGTGAATTGGTGGAGATGGGATCTTGGATTTTCTCGGCCAATTTACCAAGATTTTGGGAGTTTAGGGCCAGTCAACATTTTGCCTTGCGTCAAAAAATATTGTTCAAATTTGGCAGCCAAATATTCAACCGTGTGGACTATCGCGGTAGTTTCATCTAGTACATCGGGTTTACAGCCTTTTGTCGAGGATAAAATGTCCCTCGGAAAAGTGGACTGTGATCAGTTAAGGGAGGTTGGAAGCAGAAATCCCACAGAGATTTGCTAGGAAATGTTTTACGTGTACTTCTCTGAGGAAAGGCATAACTTCGGGAGTGAAGAACCTTTCTCAGAGGACAACTGGGGACACCCTATTAACCTGAGTTTTCCATGTGCTCAAGGTCCAAATTCAGCTCGCGACAATATCATCTGGGCTAAATATTGAGACTCCCATTTGAATCACTAGATGTTAACGTACACCTACAGTGGGTTATAGTGAAGTAATTAACAAGTAAGCATAAGGAATCAGTGCAACAGAGGTCACAAAAGATCTATTTATTTCACAGCGCGAAAATGCTAGAGAATCGCTACGAAAAGATGAAGAAAATATTACCATATCATTCAACAGAATCAAAAAATGCTGGAAGCCATTTGATCATTTGTACATTTAGCTTGCTGAATAAGTCATACGTTCTAAAAATGTAGGTTACTTGGTTTAGTTGGCAAGCCGGTAAACGTCTCGGTTTTGTTTCCGACGCATCTAATATTGTCTCCGTCTGCTCGCTAAAACAAAGAATAAAACCGCAATTTTCAGGGAGCACTGCAGATTATCGCGCTGCTGTTGACAATACTATTGGCAACAAAGTGCTGTGAACACCGATGCCTTACCTCCTTGCAGCAAAGACGTTATAGGATGAAGGGTCTTGTTTTGCACGCTAACTGGCGACGAGAATACTGCTGGGCTAGTACGGAAGCCAACAACTCTAGCCGTAGATTGGAAAAGTCATGAAAACATATCCAAAGTACGGGTTGCAAAACAACACCGTATTCTTGCCTCTTGGTAAGCTGGCTCTGGTTATGACATCGCCATAAACAAGGTTTGAAAATGGCTGTTTTCCCTATAGGCAGTGGCTTAGTATGCTTAAACTGTGAGTGCACCACAGCACTTTTCAGCAGCACCTTCAGATAACTGTCATGGAAATAAGAAAACTCTTTATACCACCCCGTCAAAGGTCTAGTACCAACAATTGACATAATCAAAATCCTAAGTTGTCGGCTGGTTGAAACCTGGCAACAAACAAACTGTTCGCTCAGAATGGCCAGTTCTCGAGATCTACAACCGGCTGGCCATTCACAAGGGCTCTCTGGGATCACTAAAAAACCCACAAGTGCCTTCAGGATTATTAATAAAAATGTTCATGTCACAGAGACCAAAAAGTCGTTTAAGAGGATCGGAGCGCTCCAAAGTTCCCGGCGACTATACATGGAGTACAAGAGCACTATCATATATACACAGCACCAAGTTAAGCGGTATAAGTTAAACACATGGAAAATTATTGGTCTACTACACGGAACAATAGCAATAAAAAGAATCACATCATTGTTGATTGTGCAGACTAAAATATCTCTGGCTCAAAACTTCCCCGCGTTCTTTTCAGACAAGGCTAAATTGGGTTTGTGGATCAAATTTATCTTTAAAAAAGTCTTTTTGTATTTGAGAATAACAACAAAGTAATCTTCAGATGATTTTCCCCATAGACCCAGAATGCAGCCTTCCGTCAGTTTGACGTACACGGTAACTAAAAACCGAGCACTGGCAATTGTTACAGGTGTTATGGAGGATTTGAGTAACACTCATAACTTCAACCTCATGAGACATCCTCGTTTATCGAGTCCGGTTAGGATAAATACGGGGGTGGTTCATATTGTCAGCGTACCCAGATCCACTTGGTGAACTGTAGTAAGACGACGATACTCTGTGGTCAAGTTTCTTCAGGTTCATTCATACAGCTGACAGGCTGCCGGAACAGATCACTAAAATTTTCTTTGACCCAACAGTTTAGTCACTGCAAATCAAAGACACAAACTGGGTATTCTGTGGGATTCAATGGCCAATCGGGGCGAGCCAAGGAAATATCCACGAGTAATTACTTTGCATTAATTGGTTGTCTGTGCCACCTGGCAATGAGACTCCCTACATTAAAAACATTTCGGAGTGAGTAGCAGCTATGGCGATTCCCACATCGTGACAGTGTATGTTCTTCCTAAGTAATCTCCAAGCAAGAAGCACCATGAGAACAGGTTTTTGAGACTAAGCAGGGCCACAAAGTAAGGAGCAAATTGAATGGCCCCAAATAGTACTTTTCATAGAACTGGACCACCGCAGTATACTTCCAAGCGACTAATCCGTCTGTAAAGATGAATTGTACGGTCAAAGTCTGAGCCCAGTTGTGATCAACAGACTTCATTTTGAGGTCTACTAAATATTTCAAAAAAATCTTCTGATTACCTGATAGTACACCATAAGAAACCTTCCAAGCCACCATACAACATGAAGTTCGGTACGTAGTACGCTGCTACAGAACTGGAATTTGAACAGTGAATTTCGCAGTGCATTGTTTCGCACCTCTTAATCCTCCATGCATGGGGAGGGATATTACTACCGACTTTGCTGGCTTCCACTATGCCATAAAAGAGAGATTTAGCATGTATTCAGCTGAGTCTCTGGTTGACTTTGGCTTACTTCACATTTCAATACATTTAGCCAGCTGCTTAAAATATGGATTCAAGTAGAACCCAAAGTTGACGAAAACTTTGAGGCTTCGCTTACGTGATGAGATTCAAGGACGGAATCAGTAGTTGGATATCGCAGATTTTTCAGCAACCTTATTAGCAGTGTGTCTCATCAAAAGTTGTATGTTGTAGCTTATGAATAAAATTGAATTTCCAATACATTTGAAGTGCATCTCAGTTACTGAACGTGACTGAAGGAAGGTAGGCGCTAAAGAACAAAAATACAGATTTAACTGGGTAGACACGTACGGTAGAATGACGCTACTGAAGCTACGAATAAAGCTACGTCATAAATGCATTTTCTGATCTAGGTAGAAATATGTCTTTCTCCGAAGGTTGAGGACTTTTCGCTCGCCCTTAGACTCAGCCGGTAGTGCGTCTGCTCTCTTTTTACCGGTGAACAAGTGGTGTGATTTGGCATTTTTTTCTCTCTAACAACCGTTTCGGCAATTCATGTTTGATTTTTAAAACGAACAAAAGTTTGGTCAGCGCATTCATTAGTACCTCCTTTTTGATGCCCAGCTGACTCACTTTCATACATTAGGGATTTAGGGTTTTCTCAAAATTAACAAGCTTTCAGGAAAAGTGATACATCTCGCCAGTTTCGTAACCTTTCATTGATCCGAAAACAGAGCAAAATACAGATGTCGCGGAATATAGGTAACTCGGGTGCGTTGCTTGGTTGCTGATCTGTTCGTTGAGCCTAGACGTTGGATTACAAAGCTTTCACCACATATCGAGGTGACATCATCAGTGTGGGGTTGAGTCGACGGCAATGTCACAACTAGCGATGTCCAAAGAACAACTAACCAGGACAAATTTTACAACGGGGTAATGAAAAGCCGTTCACTGCAAAGGAACTAGTGACAACAGAAACCATTCTCTATAATTTAAACGGCTCCATAGAATGCGTTTGTTGAAGTGTCGTTCTATTCCAGATGTACCGCAAACAGGTCGACATCTATGGAGAATCCAACATCGACTGGTGAGTGGGTGGTTCACAATTACCAAGTCAGGTGGTTCTATGTTATCTCGTGTTTTTTTGCACCCAGCGTTCTACTAGTACACTTTCAGTAGCATTCGGCCCCCAACAGTTCGACAAACACGTGCCTTTAGGTTTGTGAACGTATGTCGCAAAACGTTTGGAACGCTGTGTCACGTGACATTACCTCATAAAACTTAGAGTTCAGCCTGCCTCAACCTAGTAATTTTCTGTAGGCTGATATTTTCTAGTCAGTCTGTATGTGCCAAAAGAAAGACCACGAGCGTGAAAGAAGGTACCACGGTGCAACTAAAAATATAAACAAGTACGAAAATTATTCGGTAGCTTGACATCGAAAGTTGCACTGGTTGCCATTTGGAATTTCGGAGTGTTCATTTCCTTGGGATCTTTATCTGTTACACTACGTGCCAACTAATTTCCAGTTTTATTATTCAAGTAACCATTCGTGCAATATGATTGTCAAACACCCGGTAGCTGGTCTGTTGAGCACCTGTGGTACTTGGATGAAAGCAGGCAGTTTTCATGGAGTCAACTATGTAATTTGCTAATGCTGAAGGATACTGATTAGCGGCCCAAAATGCACAGACCGTTTAGTAGCAGCAAGCAAGTTATTATCCGACTGCATTAAAATGAGTGACTACCAAATCTACATTCCTTCCAAAAATACTGCAGCAAAGTCTTTTTAAAGTTGTCCATTTCCTCGAATTCTAAAATTCAACAGATTAGCAGTCGGAGAGCCCACGTGTCTATTATCCTGCGGCCTAACGTTGAAGTTGATCAATGGATGGTTAGGAAATGGCATAAACTTCCTTTTGCCTCACTTATACACAAATGGATTTTAACGGTATTCTATCAAACCGTAAAACAGTGATGACTAAGAATTACACTCGGCCTGCCAATGAATGGGCGTTGCTGAGTAGGTATTGATAGTCCCTCTGTATGAGTAAGTTCGCTAAGTATTCAACACGTACCTTGTAGAGGGTGAAACCCCATACATTTAACGTAGCTATTTGGAGTTCAACAGAAAAAGGGCCATTTTTCGGTTTCTCGTGCATCCTAATCACCGTTAGAATGCCTCTGTGTCTCAAAAGGATGTACACGTGGATGATTTAGCTCGAATGAGTTTCATTCCCCATTCAGGGGCATTGCTGACACAACCAGAGTGACATTTGCAACCAAAACGGTTGATGAAGTCTTGAACACTAACCAATATTGGGTAAACACACGGACAGTCCTTTGCGTGAGGTCATTGTATCATTCTTAGGACAATCCAGTTATGGTTTTTCGCCTGAGCCAAGTTCTGCTACATTATGGATATGTGAAAATAAACAGGGAAGTATACCAAGAGGGGTACGGCGCACCAAAATGCCGGCATACACTCCCTGAAATAGGAGTTCCACTAACATGTAATTTGGATGAAGGTCCAACTCGACGTCGTCACATTAGACGAGATGCAGTTGCAAATCACGATCCTTGAACCATGCTAACGCTAGTTCGTCGTAAGCTCGGGTGCGTAACTAGGTAAGTGAAGTATCGAGCGTGACAAAGAACAATCTAGAAATACAACCAGCTCACGTTTTTGCGTTTTCACTGGCCCTGACCAAAGCTGAAGTGGCGGAACTTGCACACGTGGGGGTTGGCGTAGTTTTTGAGCCGCAAAAGGTGACAATGCTAACAATGCGTCTCGATGTTCTTTTGGCAAACTGCTTTTATGCGATATGGCAGACCCACACCCGGAAAGTGTTACTGACAATGGAGGCAGTCTGCTTCAGGGTAAAGGAATTAAATCAACAGGGGAAAGATAGTATGATAGCATCCAGGTACAAGAATTTCATTTATAAAAGACTGCAATTGTATCGACAACCAAAAATATATAAGCTCTCAATGCGCAAAGCCGGATGATTCTGGGACGGATAAAATTGCCCAATATACCACCAAAAGCAACGTGAAAACATATTCCACATCATTGGAACAATTGGAAGGCACAAGTTGTGAGATGTTGATATTTCAGATTGATTTCATCAGTCGCGGGCATTCAACATTTGTAGATAGCAGACTTGTAATGATGAATTGAAAACACTGAATCACAGATAACTCTGAGGGTGAACGTTAGCTGGGTTCTGTTCTAGGGTAGCTTTGTGCACACACCTTAGAATGCTGTGTTCCTGCCAGTAACGTCCTACACACGGAACAAAGACTTTAGATTGCGTAACAATATGATGAAAGCGTGGAGGGGTTGCGGCGCAAACCAGTGGCACTTGATTTCAAATATGTCTCGAGGTCGCTGAAGAGGACGGCTTCTCGTCCAGTACCACGAAAATTCCATGTGATCTTAAAAATTTTATGTTAGAAAAAGTGAATGGCCAACTGTTAGAAGCATAATCTTTAAGTTATCAGGAACAAACAAAACTGAGGAAATTTAAAATTGATGTTTGTGGTGGACTGGAGTTACCGTTTAATGGTTTTGTGTGCACGATAGACTCTTCTTCTTGGCTCTGGTGGAGTGAAAGACCGGGGTTTTCGTGTAGAGTCTAACACATTCCTTTCCAAGAAACTTTCGTAGCTGAAATGTCACATAAATAAACCTAGCCTTGTGCGGTATTCAGGGGGCACCTGACGACCAAGAGCATATGAGTTGACTTGACATACTGTTATTGTGTTTTTCACTTCGCGGTTCTAGTTATCCCACGGACATCAAAGTAATACTTGTTATCAAAAGTCCTCCAGTAGAGTGCAGAAAATGTTCCCATTTTCATTTCCAAACATTGAAAAGTACCCTTCTCGCTGAGTAAGGAATATTCTTTCGAGAAAGTCAAATCAAAGTGAGTTTCACTTTGTTCGTTGAGTTTATGACACTGGTTGTGCTGACATCTGTGAGTTATGAGATGTTGCCACTTCAGTGACTTCCTCCCTTTGCAAACGTAAGACACCGACTGAGAACTTGTACCGAGCTAGTATGGAAGAGGGATTTCCAAGTGGGTCGAGTGAGTTGAAAGAACAATAAGGTTGCTTTCTACACTAGCAGTGTTATCAAGGTTTTATTTTCGACAGAGATTTCGTCTTGTGGGTGAAGTCAGTCTATAGAGAAAAGCCAAGAAACACTGTAAGCTGCTTCATTCTTATTGCGGATCATCAGTACTGTGCATCTCATGAGACTTTTGAGAGTTTCGAACCCACGACCTCCTGGTTCGCAGCTTGAACACTCAACATTTGGCTACAAGCAGATACTGGTTGAGTCTGAGACAGTGATAATTGGACTGAGAAGGATGTTCGTGATACTGATCAGTAGTTCTAGGCAAAAGGTACTTTGAGTACCCTATGAGTAGCGTATTACGCTCCCGAACGTCTGGCATGCGGTTTGATTATCAAGTGCACCAGAAACGGTAAGCGACACTCATTTTTCTGTACTGTGATTCATTTGTGTTTCTAATCGGGAAATATATTTTTGTTCAGTAAATTCAGTTGTGGCGATACGAGCACTGCTGTGAGACAAATACTTAAGGACAAAGTCGCCCAATAGATAGGAAGCGATAGTTCGATTTGTGTGGGGATTCTGGTTGATATCGCGTAATCTACCAATGAACCATTTGTGCTGCAGATAAAATTTTCCATTGCCATAAGTGCACGATGAGGAGCCACAGAAATCCCCGCAGTTGTTTCCAGATGATTGTGGATTTACTTTGCGAGTGCTGCCCAGATTGTTATGTCACCGTCAAAACGTCAAGACTGCACCATAGGATGTGGTCAAGGAATATGCCCATGCCTGAACTGTACTTACTAATAGTGAGTTTGTGATGCAAACCATTCAAGAAAATTTCGTATAGACCATTCACCATTGGAATACGGAAAAAAGTTAGGCGCACGTTCCTGTGGTGACTCAAACACATCATGAACCCGCCATATGGACCAGCCCCTACAGAAGCATCAAAAAAGTCTTCCGTGGTAGGCAAAACGACCTATCCAGAGGGAATCAACATGAGCGGGAAATAGACCAGCAGTCGAACAACTACTGATTCTGGGTTTGTGCCGTCACACTATATCCAGCCCAATCACTGGAGACAGGAGTAGTCAAGCGAATACAAGCACACCGCAATCCAATGTGCCAGTATCGGAGACGAGTCTGATGCCAATAATGAATACGGCACTCACCGGACAGCAGTTTTAAAATAGGCCAACGTATAGACACTTAGAAAAAGGCCTTTTCATGAAAGAGGTGTCGAAACAGATAACTGGATAGATATCACATGCTTCAAGGGTGCTGGGACCTAAAGTGATTGTGTGTGCACACGTCTGAGCCGGTGGAATTGGCTAGCCTACGGAGTACATCGTCAGTCCTCGTGCCCGACCTACCTTTGTACAATGAAAGCTAAATATAACGACTGATGATATTGTTGGACCCATTGGATATTACAGAGATCACATAGGTAGCTAGAGATTCGACGCAATAATATCTTCGGCTTTGTTCTGCCAACTTTTTAAAATCAGGCTTTAGAGTGCTTTAGAGTGCCCAAACTAATGAAATCAATATACAGAGTACACTCTACTTCTAAGGTTTGTGAAAGCTCTTCGGCAGCAAAAGATCGATTTTGCCCTTTTTAGGGTTCATCAGGTAGGTACGATCTCCGAGCGGACTACTGTCAACGGAAGATTCGGCTGGATTCACTTGAGTCTTCTGCCAAAATCAAATTTGTGTGCAGCTGACAGTATTTATCGAAATTCTGGGATGACTTCATGAAGACTCAGTCGTTGCGAGAATCCTAAAGGATGGTGTGCTACGTTCGGAGCTTCACAAGAGTTACCGTGCCTTGATACTGACCAAAATATTTTGTCCTGTCCTAACTGCAAATTGACTTAAAACCTCGTCTTAAGTAACTAGTGTATTTAGAGAGATTGAACTGACCAGCTATTTCCTAAGTATACCCCGTATACAGTGGTGATTGAAGGACCATCGAAGCACCAACAATGGAACATCAAACTGAGTAATGATTTATCTAGAACTGACTAAGCCAATCATACCAAAGCCGTGGCTTTGCGTTCTTCATTCGAACTGTCATCAGATGAGTCGCACTACATTCGGTGAGCGCCAAAGTGCACCAGTATGTTGACACTGTTTTTTTTAATTCAGCGATCACTGATATCTTCATAATATCCTTTTAATTGATAGACAATTCAGCATTTCAGCAGTGAATTGTGCCCACCACAATGAGGAACACAGATTTCTCTGGTAAAATATGAGTGTTTATGGTCTTACAGCAGCGTGGCAAAGTACACTTCAAATTTCCGGTCGCTCAAGTTGGGACCCCTGAAAGATCCCGGCAATAATGCTGAAAATATCTGGTCTTTGGAAAAATGCTCCAATACCATATCCATGGATTTGGTTATCTACTAATATTCTCATGAGTATCTATCTAGCTTTTGTGGTGTTTTGCCATTCAGATTTTTGAAAATTAATAAAGATTGGACGTTAATTCTACTTGTTTACTATTCTGCATTACTGCATTCCTAATGAAAGCTTGGAGACAACCATATCTCGTTTTTTTGGGTTTAGTTTATTGGCTTACTGAGTGCATAACCATTCACTTATGATCATTTTGCGCATCTTTTGAGAGAGCTTCCGTTGCCATTATGCCTTTGGTTTATAGTTCGAGTGTTCCTATCAAGGACTAAAGAAATGACCGTGTCTCATCTCTGAGAGTTCTTTGAGTTGGCACAAATGAAGGACTTTGCTTCAGGGAATTTGCCTTAAATGAAAAAATAAATATGAAACTACGACTGTTTTCCGTGTTTATATCTGTTAAATCAAACTGCTACATAATTGTGGACTGGATTACATCCTGTTACTAAAAAAAATATCGACTTACTCGATAGAAGAAAAAGTAACATCACTTGCAGCCGACGCTGGTTCTTCAATCGAGTGCTGTTTTCTAACTTCTGACATTCTCTTCCGAGCATTCTGTAACCGTTTGGTTTGTTCCTGCAGAACTGCGATACGTAGTTCATTTGCATTGATCTGACCTTCAATTTCATCCTGAACACTTTGGATTGCTTGGGGAACAAGGCGTTCGACAAAAGTGCATGTTACTAAGCAAACGTTTACCCAGTGGATCATTGAGGTTCATACAATCCAGTGGCTCTTAAGATCCAGAATCTGAGTAGTTTACCAGAGTTGATAACATGTGGTAGTAACAGTACGGCTGCGGCACACTTTCGATGCACAACTGTCAAGCAACTGAAATAAAGCCCGAAAGTTGGACTACTGCCATTTTGCTCAAGCCGAAACAGGATTAATCAAAAGTCAGGGTTGGGTTCGAATCACGAAACTTCCGTAAGTAGTTTTACGCTCAAACAACATTTTTGTGCAGCTCAGAAAGATAGCTTTTCAAACATAACATTGAGTTCAGCGGTGCACTGGAACTCCGGCGGCAAACACTATGAAGAGTTTTCTGTTTTCAGACACACTTTGATCGATTAGAAGCGACTACATTCGAACCCATGATTGGATATTGAAGATGAACTGAAACAACGCTTGTGTACCACAGAAGACATGTCAGGGGCTAAAAGTGAAAGGGCCAACAAATTTCAAGCCACCCATGTTTGCAGTGGTAACTAGAAAGGTTAGATTAGCTGCCCCTGAGCTCACGCAACTTGGTACATCTCATGATCCACCGTAGTACACACAAGCAACTGGATCACTCCATTGTACAGAAACTTCATTTATTATACTCATTAGAGAGTGTCATGCGCGCACATCAAAGATAAGCAGTAGAATTAAACTTAGCTTTCTAGCGCCTCGCTCACCACGGCAAGACAGAAATCAGATGGTCTGTTAAACGAAATTATTAATTCTTAATTTCCAAGAGATGGAGCCTGTTGAAGCGTAGTGGGGCAGAACTATGTGGCAATGTTCTGCCCAATCAACGGTGCAATTCTTCGAAGCAAGACAAAGCGATATTCTTGGATGAAGAGGTCTCTATTCGGATAGAAAAGTGGGGTTTATGAATTGCGAAACATACTTCGGCTAGAGGCCAAAAAGAAGCGAGTTCTCGTAGCAGATTTAGGAAGAGCAAGCTGCGTTAAAACCTGCACATTCAATTTCTGAAATAAGGAAAACAGCCCGTCTTCTAAAAGTGATAGTAATGGTCAGAACAGAGGTGTAACGTCCGAAAAACTACGCTAAATGAAAAACGGAACTTCAAAGCAACTAAGAAGTCTCTGTTTCTCATTGTAATGTCTAATTTCTACTTTTCAGATGAACAATTACTTCAGAATCTCTAGGACTAAGGCGAGCCTACGGTTCGAGATATTATTTCAAATAAATTGTTTTATTTTGCCCACCATTTGGTTTCAATGAAAACTGACAATAAGGGATTTACTTGTCGTATGGCAACATAGGGCTTCCCCAGCAGCATGCAACCCCAGATCAGGTCCAAACCACGTTATTTTTGGATACACATTCTCCTAAAGAGATGCGTTTTCAACCGAAATTTTTCATATTTTTTACCATATGGATAGAAATAGACCAATATGAAGAAAAATGCTTAGGTTCACTGCTGTTGTGATTAAGTGAACAACAGATATATAGATGGATAACGCTTGACAGCAGTACAACTCAGTGTCTCTGTCCCCAGTTGCTTTGTTAGCAATTTCTTGTAATACTGAGCCCTTGTAAATAAGACGAATTACTCAGCCAAACGGCTTAGGCTCTGGCATACTTGGTTGTGATTCCCGGAACATAGTGCGTTTCACGTCCCTTGTAGTCTTTCGGTGATTTTTACGCAAACTAACGTTTGGTACACAGGCTCACAATTTTGGATTGTGAGGCTTGTTTGTAATTTAGCGCCCGTGTTCTGTAGAAAACGTTTCACCCATATCCTCTTGACGTCAGGCGATTTCTTTTGAGCCACCGCTTGCACAACAATCTTTACTGGTCTGAAGTTTTCTCGAGGAGAGTCGCCGGTGTGGACTCACGATGAAGATTGTGCCAAAACAGGAGGATGATATTCAATAGAGATTGATATGAATGTAAACTTCACTGGGCTTATCAGTCACTTGCACCGAATGCAGTCTGAGGTATAAGCAAAGTGAAGTGTTTTATTAAAGAATATCATCTCGATCATGCTCCAAAGCACTTCTGCACCCGTTTCGGTTCGCGAAACATCGTTTTACTGGGATAGATAATTTTTCATTGCCACTTTACTAACGTCTCCGAGGCAAAAGTTCTCAACGGCTAGCACCATATTAGCAAAGATTGCAGTGGAGCAGAATAAATCCATAGTAATTAGGAAATTTCATGTTATGAAGTTTGTGGCCAGCTATGAACGTGATGCGGGTAAGTTGCCTGACATGAACTAATAAGGTAAAACTTATCTAACAATACTTACTGATACAATTATCTAGGCGGAATGTCAAAGTTGGACAAAAAGTACAAAGTGGCAGTTTTAACCGTGGATGATACGATATCGATCGGACTTGCTGAATGTCAGTAACATACAAAGAGGGAGATTTTCCTGCGGCCAATCAATGTTGAATCGTGCGATGCAATTACTGATCACCAGAAAAGACGAACATAAACCTGCGTATACTCTTCTTGATTTCTAGTTAAAAAAGCCTACTCATTTTTCGAAAACGATCGGTCGCAATGGCAACGCAGTGTTCAATAAAGGATACACCAGCATGGTAGCAAGATACTATTGATGAATTCGTACAAGAGTATACCGAAATTTGTTGGATATTCAGCGAGTTCTACGAGGATGTTGTGCGTTGCAAAGAAGGTATCAAAAGCTGACGAGAAAAATTATATTCAGGGGGATAACCAGCGGCTAACAACGGGCGAATACACACCATTCTAGTACCTTCAGAAAAAGACCCGAGTTCTGCTTAGTGCGGACATCGTGGGGACAGTGGCTTAACAAGTCGTCTGTCTACTTTCCAACTGATCATATTGTCTATGATCGAGGTTGATGGGATACTGTGTTTACGGGTCAACTGGTTATCTGTTTACTTTCCAATTGAGTACTGAGAAGAAAAATGATGTGTCTTGAAAAAACCTCAAAACCTGCGCTTTCCAAAAACCTTTGGCTTTCTTTTTAAATGTTCATCATTTCATGTCAGAACCACCCAGCGGTCGTGAACAACTCAGTCACCAGCAGTGGTTAAGAGAAACAACTATGAGCTTTAAGTAAGTAGATAAGTGAGTGAGTGAGCAATTAAGTAAGTAAGTAAGTAAGTAAAATAAGTAGGTAAGTAATTAGAAAAATTAGCAATGAGAGTGAGTGAGTGAGCAATTAAGTAAGTAAGTAAGTAAGTAAAATAAGTAGGTAAGTAATTAGAAAAATTAGGGACCAATGAGAGTGCTGAATCCGGTCATCCTGAACCGGCCTACATTTCCACACACGATTCGGAACGACAATAGATTAGAACTCTCATATCCATGGACAGTATTTAAAACATACTTACGCGCATCTTTCGTCGTTTGTGTAGGTATATTCAAGTCTGGGTATTGGATTAACAGTTCAATCTTGTTCTGATATCGCAAAATTGTAGATTGTAACTCATCGATCTCTTCTTCGAGTTTCACTGTTTTTGTGCAAGCTTGTTTACTAGTTTCCTGAAATTCAGACAACATGATCTTTGGAAACCAGTTTGTATGAGATTTCAGTTACCTACCTCTTGTTGTTGGTATTCCTCTAATATTTTCGCCTTGCTGGCTTCTGCCGCGGTGAGCTTTTCCTGTAACTCGCCTATCAACGCCAGATATTCTTTTTCCTTCGACTCCTGCTTAGAATTTTGATCTGTCAAAACTTCAATCCTTTCTGAGACGAGTTGATGTTTATGACGCATGTTCTGAAGGGTAGGACGGCAAAATGAAGGGAGCACTAAATAGGTATGATAGTCTATGAAATCGGGTGGCCAAAAGTGAAAGATAAACTGTCAATAAGAACTGAGTTTTCTGCTTAACCTTTCGTAAGAAGCGAAATTAGGATTCATACTATTGCCCATTGAGTGTAGGCGCTTCTTGATGTCATTTGCAAACTACTAGTGAGAAATTATCTTCAGTGAAAAACGAAACAGCCTGATCATTTTGGAGTATGTGTGTGAGGATGAAGCACACATCGCCATCGCCCTAATTACGGATTGAAATACGCCAGGGTAAATACTGGTACCTTACAATCATATAACGTAGAGGCCGTAGAATGAGGAAAAAATGTGGGAAGAATTAAGTGATGAGAAAACCCGTTTCTTCCGTCATCAGCTTTGAAGGAAACCTTACTTTTGTACATGTGCTTGCAGAGCGATAGTCAACGCACGTTATCACCAATAACTTTGCTAGATAGTATAGTCCTGTGTAATGACACTCTTATTTTATACATCGTCAAAGGAATTTCAAACGAGTCTACAAGGGCTCCCGACACGTCTCTCTCCTATTTGCTTGCGATGCAAAGCACTATGGTGGCTTCATCCCAACCGACTAAAAGAAATTCACCAGATTTAGTGACCAGACCTTCTAAGCAGAGCTCAAAAGGTACTATGCAATTGCATCCTGGGAAAGAAGATACGTGTAAAAACCCACCAAAACATTTCAGGCAGCTGCACTTTGGAAGTGTCTCTCTACCGCCATAACATACTTGAGGTCGTTATCCTCAAATCGGGTACCTCTTGCCAATTACTGCTCAACTACTTGTGTGATAGGACATGTTTGCTGCTAATTCTCAAGAAGCGCGGTGAAGGGGTGGATTTTTAAACCTTTCAGTCTGCACACGAACCCCACTAATCTGGAGCAGACCTTGTGGCCATTCTTTTATTTCATATTCATGAACACAACTGTTTTGTATCACGTCGCAACCAGTAAGTAGAACCTTATTCTTCCAATGATGCAATACAAAACCTTGAAGTCGAGGTACTGATATTAGTTAGCTGAAAATCTTCCTCTGATGTTTTAGCCATATGATTATCGCGGTTGTACATATTCGGAAGCTCAAACCGGTTTCTCGGCGTACGTTCTTCTAGGAAGACGCGTGAAGCCACTAATCAAACCGATATATGTCTGGACTTTCCATTCTGCCTATATTGGACCCTTCAAAGATGAGATACTGCGGGTGGCCATGCTTCTTATCCACCCTTCAATTCGGTAGATCCAGAACCGTGAATGCTGGAATTGAACACGCGTAAGATATGCAACGGAGTAATCAACTGATATATTTTCGTTTGTTAAAAATATACCTTTTTGATTTAACTAGAAAAGAATCACCAAATGGTCAGTAGAACAAGTTTTAGCGTAAGCTACCTTACAGTGTCTCTCTAACTGGTCAAACAGGAAGCAAGCGCATCAGTTGCACGAGAAAATACCTTGCCTGGGATCCTCGTAGTCTATTGAAACCCAGGACAAAGAAAAAGGTTCAACCAGGGATGAGTTTGTAGACCTGGGTGGCGGAACTCTCCGCACAAACGTCAATAACATTTCCGTGAACTGGCCGAAGACCGATCGGAAAAATCACCAAAAATCCCATCATTCACTAACCACTAATAAAACGACCCAGAAGGAACTCCGTTTCACTAAGGTGCATAGTTGCAAGCTTACAGAATGAGTCTCCTTGCTTCTGTGCGAGAAAACAGTCAGTCACGTGTCCTAAACTTGTGTTGAGATAATGGTGTCGCCGGCTGGAAATGGAGATCACTCTCGGATGAATAGCCGTCTTGCTTCTAGAGTCCGAAGATTCACCAGACTAAACATGTCTATATCAGGTGTTATACTCCATGAGTGTGTTAGTGTAGGTTTCTTCTTGTCTAGATATCAGAACATGACGCACTGGCCTCATGCATTGGTGGATTTTTTTGTTAACTTCGAAATTGCATCACCCTTGGGAACATTGTTTGAAGGAACCACTTGAAGAACTCCGGTTCTCTCTGTATTGATCAAACGACCACTGTCATTTATTGTAGCCGTTAGGCAAGAACTTACACTTAGTTGTATTTCCATATTATTCTTTTCCAGTAGAGCACGTTGGTTTTCCTCCAAGGCGTCTGTGTGACGAGCTTGTGCTTCGGATAGTTGCTTCTGTAACTCTCGGATCGTACTCTCCAAAGTCAAAAACTCCGCATTTTGCCCACGAATTAATGCTGTTTTTTCTTGTAGTACTTTGGTTAGTGAATCTGTTCAGTGGAAGACAGGAGAACTGGTAATCACGACCACCATCCAAAAACCTCGTTTTAAACGGATAAAACAGTGACATATTGTTACTTTACGCGTAAGATACTAAAATTCTTTCGTCATTTGACGGGAAGAACTCAGTAGCATATCGATGTTTTGAAGGCAAAACTCGATGTTTGAGGGACCGAATTTTCCAAAACATGTATCACAGCAGAGAAAAAACAAATGAAGTAGGAGTGCCGACTAGTGAACCTACAACTGCTATGCATTGAATGGTGATGTAATCGTTAAAATGGGTGACAAGTCGCCTCTTAACATACATAGAATCGCTTCTCTGAGTCGACCTATTCAACACATTCAAATGTTTCTAACGTCTAATCCGCAGGTCACAAATCAATAAAAGTTCGCGAATTTCATAGCGATATCTCTTATTCTTGTGATTTCAGGCAAGTCACCAAACCAGGTGTTGAAATCAAAAATATTACGTTTTAATGCTTGTACTCGATTTAGGCTGCTTGTTAAGTAGTTAACTCCAAATTCACAAAATTTCTCCATATGGACACAGACATGCAGAGTGGGCCAAGTGACGTGCAAATTTTTTCAAATGGTTCAAAGCCGGACAGTTGGACCATTCATTGTGTTTCTCATTGGCCGAATTGTCCATAACGAGGGGACTGTGGTTTCCGCGCTGTGCAAAATTACGCGGGATTACACGCAGAGTAGAAATTAACGGAGAAAGCCGCGGTAATTGCCGTAGTTTCCCTTCATTTTCATTTAAATTTCATTAAATAACAGTAACAGTTTACCAACTTACGTCTCAGGTAGCAAGTGAGGTAAACTGAACTCAAATTCTCACCTGCTTGGATCAAGCAAAGTCAAAGGTCACTCACAAAAACACTTTGATTTGATGTTCTATCACCTGTTCCACACAAAAATCCCATGGTTCAGTTTTCAATTTACAAATGCGGCACCTTGTGTACTTGAGCTCTCGTGCGTCATCTTAGACGCTACAGTGGTGTCACCTGGTTCACTATTAAGCTCAGTGAGCAGTCTGCTATTTCGTAGTTTCACGACATTTTTACCAGTATCCTTCTGAGGTTTCAGTTTGCAGTACATCTTAGGATGCAAGAAAAACACGACTTTTTTATTTAACAAAAGTACTTCATAATGGTTCAAAGTGCTACCCAAATGTACGAGGATTGTTGATCTACGTAACCATTGAAGACTGGGATTTATCTCCTTTACCAAGATTAGCCAGGCATATCCATGAGGAACAACAGAGCAAAGTCCGGAGTAATAATAGTCACGGAGAAAACTCAGGTTTTGATGTGATTTTCACACAATGGCGACAACCGAGTTAACAGAATGTCAGCACCTTGACTAATACCATTGGATCATGCGCCGATATCGCAAATCACTCATCATGTGTCACAGAATTTTGAGAAAAACCAGAGGAAAATATTGATTTGCCTGTCACAGTACACGAATGTTGTGAACGGAGAATGCGCTAAGAGGGTAGCTCATACTCGATTTTTATCAAGTAAGAGACAACAAGACAGAAAAGAGCGGACTTTGTGTGCTTCGTTAAGACATCTGTATACAATTATTTATACTCAATGTGTTGATATCAATGTGAGCGTTTGTTATCCAACTTTGGATGAAGGCTCCCTATGAGGAATAAATGAAGCCTTTTGGGGCGAAGGATTTGGAACTGAATGATAGGGAAGAATACTTGAGGAGTTGTGGACACTCAGAAATATTGCACGGTAAAACAACCACTAAAACGTAGGATAATTATAATCAATGGACTGATCGTTTTATAACATCTAAGGAGGAAATTGCTGTCGTTCATTTGGATTAAATGTTTCCACTCAAATCGTTTCGTAGAATCACACTGGTTGACTAAATTCGTAATTTCGTTGAGTAGTAATCGGAAGAGGGCAAACAAACAAGGAAGCTCAGTGGAAGAACAACCCCAAAAGATGGTTAGCACTTCAGTCTAAGAAGTCATCACTCGTGTAGCCAGTCAACACATGTCCATGTGATATGGTTCTCGGAGATGAGTGGTGCGAGTTAATTTCACTGCTGTTCAAACTGCTTGACGGGAGGTCACTTGTTCGGAATTCCGATGGAGTTTCGGGAGGTGCACACCGTTGATGGTTTCCAATAAGGATGAAACAGTTGACTTTCGGAATATATTGGGTTCAACTGCAGGAAGAAGACTAGTTCAGAAACCTGGGAGCATTCCTCGTTTAGATCACTGGGAAATAACGCTGTTGACTAATGTTCAAGCGACGCCTATGTGGAACGGTTCCCGTTAAAAGATATATGTACACGATGTAGTGTTCTGTTAGCCAGCTTTTTTCCATGATGTTAAGTTACCTTTCAGGACATCAAATAGAAAATGACCTCCACTTTGATAGATCATATGGTTGTTATGATAATACCATGCATACGGTTGTGTGTATAAACTATTCCAAAAGTAAGGTTTATATAAGAAACAGCTTTCGTAGTATAGGTCCAACCTTCAGGTTTTCAACGTAATCTATACTGAAATAAACGACCGTCCAATATAAAAAGTTATTGGGAGCCTGTAAGCTGTCGTGATAACTGGAATAAGATAGTGCTATATCTTGTCTATCTGCAAGTTGGTCGTGCTACCGATCTGCAATTCACAATCACGGCTAAAAAATAGCGGATTCTGATCGCTTCAGGAGTTCGTGGGATGCGAACCACCGATAATTGTCTGCAGGGATTCAATAGCTGTCCTGTGTGTCTCGGCTTTTTGGTAGAGATTGATTCCACTTGTGGTTTACAATCTTATAGTATACTCGTCAGCACCAAAATGTCACACTTCATTCCTTGCACACACTAAAAAGACCTAACTGTCATAGCATTCTTACAAGTTAAAATTAAGCAACAGTGATAAGCGCTACATGGGAGCTAAATTTTTTAATTCAGTGATATGCGGCTGATAGGCAGTGAGAGCAAATTGCAGTCAGATAGAACATAGCGTCGCTAAAAAGAACGCATAGTACAACTAACGGAGAACGTGGAACAAGTGAATAACGGAGAATATTCAAACTGGGATACGGATTGAACTAATTTTGCGTTTTGGTGGAGTAGACGAACAAACACATCAGGCCACTCTTTTTGGTTTCAAGTCGGCCCTAAATCTGTCTGGGTATGAAAAGATAAAAATTATGTTTGTGGGCTGCGATGTATAAAAAATCACCGTGGGGTGAGTGTATACAAAATCACGGAGTCAAACCATTCGACGATTACTGAAAGTACAACAGGTTCAGATGCAAAAAGATTCTTAGCATCTAGCTTCGCCATCATAAACCAAACAGGAGTAGGCGAAAACCCCTACTTGTGTCAGTCTCGCATTGACATAATTTCTGCCTCAGCTCATGTACTGTTTCTTCAAGTTTCTTTCCACGAAGGTGATGCTGACCGAGCTCATTCTTTAAGCCTGCCACAGTTTCTTCGATTTCTTTTTTCTCCCTAGAGAAATGTTCTATTTGTTCTCCGTGAGCCATCTTCGTGCTCTCCAGCTCAGTCTATAGAGTAACAGGAAAAAGAGTTAAGTTAACTCAGCAATTCAGTCAAACAACACAGCCTCAGAAGTATAAAACCATAGACTGTTTGGAGTAGCCTAGAAAATCTGACTGTGCGCGAGGCTTTATAGGTAGGCTTCGTCTACGGTGAACGAAGAAGGTACAATTAGTTCATCTGTACATACACCAGCACGGAATGAAATGTTCTAACATTGTTTGACTAACAAAATCTATAAAAGTGGATTAGACGTACGTAGATGGTAATGTGAAGGGATTTAGTAGAATTCAGTTGAGCTTCCATCCTGTAAGTGGAGCCAATTCAAAAGACAAGGCCGAGAAGCGTTGTGCAACCTTTTCATGCGTATGAAAAGTCATCATGAGTGTTCTCTTCAGCATAAATTGGCTTCACTTACAGGACGAAATTTCAACTGGTTCGGAACCCACCGTATGAAAAGTCATCATGAGTGTTCTCTTCAGCATAAATTGGCTTCACTTACAGGACGAAATTTCAACTGGTTCACTACGGAACCCACCCATCTTCAACACAAAGGGTATAAACATGTGAATATACCATAATTCTCCCACCACTCTTGTTAGTGGGAGAGGAAAGAAGCTCAGCGTATTACTTGGCTGGAAAATCGATTTCAACAGTGATATTGATGCTAAGTTTGTTGGTGTGATAGGCATCAGTGAGTTTCGTCTTACACCAAGTACTCAGACACAAGGCGGAACTTACCATAAACGCGTCACTGACAATAAAGAGAACAAAACTATCACACTGAAATTTCAGGCTATTTTATTTTAGAATAATCTGGCTGCAACACAGTATCAGAACTAAAAATTAGTGTTGACGGACAACCTGAAATCAAGTGTTTTTCTCTTCTAGTACAGATATTTAGAAAGCAAGCGGTGAAAAACCGACAGACACTACTTGTAAAGCTGGTGATGAAGAGTTCTCAGTTAGAATTTTCTATCCTTCTGTCTTTGATTTACTGACACCGAGTAAGAAACTGCTTGATTAACACAGAAAAACGGCTCACACTGGTGACTCTTCATTCGGTGAAAAAATTAAGATCGATCCTGTGTGAATGGAGGGCGAAAGTCGTAGGTGCTTGAGCGTCAGTGGCTGGTTCAGTTCATAGTTGTGTAACTTAAATAGTTCGCTTACACACCTCTAAGATAAGTGAACCATTCAAGAGGTAGTTGCCACCCACCCTGGATGCTGCCGTATGTTTTCGTAAATGCTACGCCCATATTTTAGGTGTTTTAAATACATCCTTCTGTACGTAAAGCCTTGAAACATGAATTGCAACACTGCCATTTGCTTGGTTATTTACTGTTTACAGTCGGTTTCCGGAATTTAGAAGGATGAATCACAAGCTCCCGTTGACAGTAAACTGTTGTGTTAAACGTGGTTGTAGACCGACTGGAGTTTTATCACAGTTTTTTGAAATGGTAAAACAGGTTCGAATTAGATTAATTCATTTGGCTTTGTATTACTGTACTCTGAAGTCAATTCTCCTGAGTAGACCTAGTGATGTCTCGATGCATCTCGAATGTCATCAGTTTTCACAACTTGTCCAAGTCTTGTCACACTATGATCAACTTAGTTATTGTAGTTAAAAACAAAACCAACACTGTAAAATTATTTACCTACCTCCTTTTTCGCCAGTTCTTTGGCAGAACTATCCAGCTCTGTTCTCAGTTCTTCTACCCTTCTTTCTTCTTGTGAAACTCGTTCACGTAGGTGCTTCACATAGGTGCTCAAACGTTCGAAATCCTTCCGAACTGCTGAAACAACTCTCTGAGTCTCCGCAATCCAGGCTGCATCGAAAGGCGCATTATCTAATTCATTCAATTTGCTTCCGATTTCCGACGGGAGATTGCAGAAACTACATAAATGAACAAAGCAGGTGAACACAGACTGCAGGAATAGTACAGTAAGGACACACTCACTTCCAGTAAGTTTCTCAAGTCTTCAGAATGCGAAGATATTTCTGAGGATTCGAATTTAATTGGATCCGTTTGAATAGATTTTTCGCAAAACAGCTTCTGCTCGAATTGTGGCTTATGTGTGGAAACGTTTTCAATCTTTTTTGTATATTCATCTTCAATTGTCTGCAGCCATGCGAATGTCTGATGTGTAATCTCGGCTTCCGTGTCTTTTCCGTAGATGGCTAGTTGAAGGTTGTCTGTTTCAGAAAGGGGTCCCACGTTGGCTGGCTACAGCTTTAATTTTCTTCGGTGATCTGAAACCTTACCCATTCCGATTGCTCATTGATTAGATTTTCGAATTCCTCAACAATGGATGTGAGCTGGTTGCACTGCGCCTCTACGGACAGCTTATTTCCTATTGTTATGCATTGTTCTCTGAAATTCATGCAGCCGAGCATCCACAGAGAGGTTGTGTGTATCAGTAGCAGTAATCTGAATAGCATGAGTGGTGAGCGAAATCTAAGAGATGAATTACCTATCAATAATGAGTTCTAGCAGAAGAAGGTGATATATTTGATTCCTTTTCAGATTGTTCTTATCATGAACAATTTCCAGCAGGATATCCTCCAGTTTCACATCCACAGCCAGGGTTTTGGGGAACTTCCAAGAATAGCAGTTGTTTGAAGCAATTCGATGAGTAAAAAAGTTTGAACATGCTTGAAGTATGTGGAGTTCTTGCTTGAGGTTCCTGATACAAGACTTGCTACCAAATTGATTCATATCGGATGGTGCGTATATTGTTAACTTGGACCATATACCGTTCCAAAAATATACTTGGAGATGATTATAGACCTTTCAGATGGAGGAAAGTTGTGTAAAAAAAACAAGCATCAGACTCAGGCGATGTGTTTACATGCAGAAAAACTGCTCCAAGGTGTCAAACAGATTATGCGGTACCAAGATATGTGATTCAAGTGTTTTGAAAGGCAGATAAACGTCTGACGGGATCGTCCCGATGAGAGACGTTACTCGTTCCAAAGACCAGGCATTTAAGAGGTATAAATAGTCAGCATGAAGAGAGAAGGAAATCTGGCTGATCCGGCAAGGTGATCAGTCGTAAGAGCTTTGGTTTTCACATCAGTTATCGCAATCAGCAACAACTGTAGTGTATGAAGCTGGTTAGGTAGAGCCTGAACATGTTAACATGAAATGGAAGTATCTTTAGATTCCTAGGAACAACCCAGAGGAATGTATACAACTGGCTGGCGCCTCGGGCTGATATATTCGCGAATAATAATAAGCTCGCTGAACACCTGCTCATGGCAGGCAAGCCACAAATGTTTTGCGCGCAACCGAATATGGTGCTGCGTGAATGCCGCTGATTCCCGAGTGAACTCAGGGGAATGCGATGGGTACAGGGGCCTCTTGAGGGCCACCCTCCCACACAAGCATGAGTACTTAACATTGAACATCAGCACTGAGTATAGACGTAATGCACTATGCAAAAGGTTGCTGAAAACTCATTGACAGCCCATGACTGGTTTTACTCTTCTTAGGGCCAATCAAGTAGGCGTGGTCTCCGAGTTTCCGCCAGCCTTATATCTTACTTGAGCCCAAATTGAGAACATCATAAGCGGGGCGGCTAGGCAGGGTTTCAGCTGAGTCATCCGCAAAAAACAAATTGGTGTGAAAAAGAGTGTATTTCTACATTGTCGCGCAATTCGTGTTCAATCAGAGCATAAGGTTGACGGGCCCTTGGAGACTGCGCCTATATGATGAGACTTAAGTAGGGAGAAACCGGTTGTGGGCTGTAAAAATATCTTCAGCAACCTAATGAGTAGTGCATTGCGTCCATAAAATGCATCGCTATGTCTCGAATATCTTAGCAAATAAACCTGGATCGGCATGCTGCAGCACATTCAATTGCTTGAGAAAGCCATAATCGAGAAATTAAGCTGGGTTCCAGGTGAGTTCTCCGTTGCAACCGAAATCGTATGCAAATGAGTGCATTTCACCAGCATTAATTCTTTCATACGAGGTTCTGACATGCTTCGACAACTTCAGTTTTTTGCAGAATTCACACTTTCTTGGAATAGACTACTGCAAAAAAGACTGATTATCACCATTTGCTCCAGAAAACAGTGTAAATGTATAAACCGTTGTCATCGACTCCAACACATAGCTGTCATTCCTTACTTCTGGACGAGCATACCTGTAGCAGCTGGAACCACTGCATTCCGGTAAATCGCTTATGAGCCGAATAAATGAATTCAACTGATGTGTGTTAACCGGGGTGCAGATAATAAAACAAACAAACAAACAAACAAACAAACAAACAAACAAACAAACAAACAAACAAACAAACAAACAAACAAACAAACAAACAAACAAACAAACAAACAAACAAACAAACAAACAAACAAACAAACAAACAAACAAACAAACAAACAAACAAACAAACAAACAAACAAACAAACAAACAAACAAACAAACAAACAAACAAACAAACAAACAAACAAACAAACAAACAAACAAACAAACAAACAAACAAACAAACAAACAAACAAACAAACAAACAAACAAACAAACAAACAAACAAACAAACAAACAAACAAACAAACAAACAAACAAACAAACAAACAAACAAACAAACAAACAAACAAACAAACAAACAAACAAACAAACAAACAAACAAACAAACAAACAAACAAACAAACAAACAAACAAACAAACAAACAAACAAACAAACAAACAAACAAACAAACAAACAAACAAACAAACAAACAAACAAACAAACAAACAAACAAACAAACAAACAAACAAACAAACAAACAAACAAACAAACAAACAAACAAACAAACAAACAAACAAACAAACAAACAAACAAACAAACAAACAAACAAACAAACAAACAAACAAACAAACAAACAAACAAACAAACAAACAAACAAACAAACAAACAAACAAACAAACAAACAAACAAACAAACAAACAAACAAACAAACAAACAACAAACCAAACAAACAAACAAACAAACAAACAAACAAACAAACAAACAAACAAACAAACAAACAAACAAACAAACAAACAAACAAACAACAAACAAACAAACAAACAAACAAACGAATAAATAAATGGATAAAATAAATAATAAAAAACAGTAATGATAGCAATAAAGCACAATAAAGCAAAGGCAGTTGATGCAATTGTCCAGAAAGCCACAATTGTCAGTGTGATTCAAATCTCACCGACCCGTAGGTCTGGCATGACACTGTGAGTTAACGAAGTGACAAAGAAGCAAGTAACCTTTCAATGTGTCTTACTAGTTCTTTGTTGAGTAGCTTTCAGTTACCACGTGAAGTATAAAATATAAGTCATTGTGGTGTCATGATATCAGATCTAGTTTGAAATGGCCTTCGTTTGTCCTTCGTTTTCTCCTCCAAATTTTTTGAGTAGTTCGCTCTGGTGTCTGAAAATTCTGTTTGAGGAAAGTCCGAATCTTACCAAAACCTCGTTTCAGTTCAGTGAACATGTTTATAGAAACTAACAGATCTGATTGTCATCAGTATCTGCTCCTGGTGCGTTTATATTTGCTGATGACTTGGTCTTTTAGAAAAATCAAGTTTTTTCTAGTAATCTAATATAGTGCTGACTGAGGTGCCTTCTGTATTCCCGTTGAACAAAACTGTTCGTTCACCAAGGTACAATAAGTTGATCGTTTTTGCGGTCTCTCGACAAAATGATTAGGTAATAGGCCGTTTTAGCAAACAGGAGTTGAATCTGGCGCTTATTTACACCTAGTGGCAAACTTTCTTCCAAGTTTATATGCCATATGTGCGCTTCGAAAAACAACCGGGACTTTAGATACATAGTTCGAGTATTTTCTGAGAAGGTGGGTTACTGTTCCACGATTGCTCCCTTCACTATTGACAGAAATACCCTTGCGAAAACATCATTGTTCAGCTATTACATAATCGCGCTAATTTGTACAAAGCCACATAAGGGGAGGGGAAAAGGTACGGTCAGCCTGATGCGAACTCACATCAAACATCCGAAGTGTCTTAACTTCCAAGTGCTTGTCCAGGAATTTTGGGTAGAAACTGATAGCACAAATTTCATTGACATGGGTCACTCTGAAATTTCGCTTATTACTGTACTCCGGTGGAGTGACTCGAAGTTTTGTCTAACACGGTTATTTCATAGTTTCAAGGCGCAGAACACCATAATAGCTGCAAAATGTGCGTTTGGAACCTTGACCAAAGAGGTAAAGTTCCCCGAAACAACTGGATCTGAACATCCGAATTTCAAACCTATTTCAAGCAGGAGAACCAACTCGCTGGATGCTGAGTCAACAACGTACATTTGGCGCCTAGCTGCGACGCCACCCAGAGGAAGCACGAGGATTGACATATTGTCAGGTTGGTTGTCGGTCTGTTTGTTGAACTTGGCTGTTGGAATGCATTCGTTTCATCACCAAACTAGGTGACATTATTATTGCGTTGGTGGGTGCCTATGCTTATACGGTCTTCAATCAGTAACTTGTTACCCTGACTTGGCTGCTGCGTCAGCTTGGAATCTGGGCTGTTCTGTGACACATTTTCTTTTGTCCGATTAATCCGCAGGGCGCTTTTCAGCCGACAGCTCCGTTCTTCGAATGTGATCGGGTCGTTTGATTTTGTGATTTGTTGTCCAATTTCTTCTCATTTCATTGGCCGACTAAGTAGCCGTCGGTAGCTTCGCTTCTTCTGTCCGTTTGATCCACTGGTTAGCGTTAGGTCGTTTGATTTCAGAGACTCTCAGCTGCGTCATTCTTTTATTCATGGCAGCTGACGGACTGGGTTGGTATTGACGTGTAAATCGGCCAATTTTCGTTTAAAATACCGCCCCTCCGAGGATTCTCGCTCCTGTATGTTTCTCGCGTGAGCAAGTATTTCAACAATATCCGAATTGACCACATGTCTTTCTCTTTCCTCTTCA